GAGTGGATTTGAGTTACGCATGATCCATGGCGTGATTGTCATAATTATAACATCATATTAAAACTTTATTTGGTGGAAACGCATCGACCAAGCCCGAATTCTTATTTCATAAATTATTACGCAGATCAAGCTACAAGCATGGAGTTAAAAAAAAGAACAGAGGTGTGAATTTGACATTCAACACCATACACCAAACAATTCAGAAACTTTTAGCCTTCGAAAATGAAAACAATTAGAAGTGTGTAAGGGCTGTGTAATTTCCTGTTTGTCCAACGCTTCGTTTTCGTGTCACTGTCAAAATTATTGCTATGGGTACCTTTTACCTAACAGGAACTAAACAATAAAACGATAAGTGGCTTTCGTCCACTGATGCCGCACCTTCGGATCAATTAGAAACGTGTGAATACATACACTATGACTATACGTTTCACTGCAACTGCCCACAACACAACACAACACAACAACTAAAAACTCTCGCTCTCAAAAAAATAAAATAGACAAAAAAAGAAAAAACGCTGACCGCAAAAATGTATATCGTTTAAAACTAACTGAATGACCAGTGTTCTTACGGCCCGGGGGTATGACTTCCTCTCACATTTTTGTCATTTGGTGGTGCACTTTCGGCGAGAGTCGGAAATCGGGAAACAGTCAACCGTTTCAGGATAGGTGGCGTGGCTACAACACGAGAAATATCCCAAATTTACTTGGATACGAGTAATCATTTTCAGCAAAAAAATCAATAACTGCCCATTTCAGTGGGACACAGATCTAAAATGGGAAACGTGAGGGTGGGCATTGCACAGGCACTTTAAATGGCCACCAGTCGGCCAATTTGTATAACAAAATGTCAAGTCTTTGTACCTTCTTTGAATATAATTATTGTACATCTAAGAATTGATTAAGTATGACTAAAATGACCACCAGTTGGCCATTGTGAAAGCCTATCACAAACTTTGTGATTTAACTTTTTTGGACGAAAATGGTCATCAGTTGTTTAAATTTCATCAAAATCCAAAAACATGCAACCAATTATGTCTTTTTACCTGTGTACTAAATTTGAAAAAAAATCAGTAAAAATCTTTCTGAGAAACCAGCAGCAAAGTTCTGTAATTGGTCAAAACTCTAAAATAAGAAAAGTTGAAAAGAATGCTAAATAGTTGCATGTACACATTTTTGTAGCTAGACGAATAATCAGAGTAAGCCGTAATTTCAGAGAACTGAAAACAAAATAATGTGATTGATCTAAATTTGATTTAGGGTTCATATGAATTGAAATTAATAATTTACTTTATTAAATCTTTTAAAGATTCTCTTTCCGATGATCTACGCTGCTATTGTTTACTGGATGACATCACAACCATCAGACGCTGTACGATTTATTTTATTTCTCTGTATCATTACCATGACGGCACTGGTGGCACAATCACTGGGACTCTTCATAGGAGCAGCCTCTACATCTGAACAGGTAGCACTACACAATCCTTGGCATGTTTATAACGGTCGTCTCTCATTAGAGAGGCTCTGAATTGGTCAGGTCCATCTATTGTGAACTGAAATATATGTCAATACATTGGCAACTTAATTCAGTTTTATCAGCCCACTGCTGACTATTTGCATTCCAAGACTCAGTTTTGCATTTATGGGATTTATCATCGGTGGATAATACATATCGTACCACGGTTTGCCTAGCAAATTAGTCAGCTATATTCACTGCATTATAAAAGTGATTTAAGCGCTATGAATGTATTCAAGGCTCATTTTTTCAGTATACTAAAACATGTCATTTTAGCTAGCATGTTATTTTAGCTAATTTAGCTCATCTGTAATTTCGCTAATTCGTGATGTCACTGATTAAAAATGAAGTATATTTTCACAATCAAATTGTTGGCACTTCAGCTAAATTAAGATTCGGTTAATTCATGCATGGAGTCAAATTCGCTAAAATGTCATGTAGCTATTTGAACATGTTTTACAGTATGTTTTCCTGCAGTCTTCCAAGAGTCCAGCATTTTGAATCGTGAATGTGCTGAATAACGTGCATTTCACACTGTAACCTGTTACTAATAATGAATGCATTCACCGAATACCTTAGCATCCTTAAAAGTGAAATTTTATACAAGGTTATAGATTTACGTTCGTTTTTGGCTAATAATTGATATTTTATCAATATTTCAGGTCGCCACATTTGCGGGTCCTGTTACCGCAATACCGATTCTTCTGTTCTCAGGATTCTTCGTGTCGTTTGACACTATTCCACCCTACTTACAGTGGATTTCGTATTGTTCGTATGTACGCTATAGTTTTGAGGGCGTGCTTATAATTATCTATGGCATGGACCGTGGTGCATTAGACTGTCACGAAGAAGTACATTGTCTGTTTCCGAATGCCGAAGATGTACTCCGAGGACTAGATGTTGAAGACGGGAAACTTTACATCGATTTTATTGCTCTCTTTGGCTTCTTCATCTTTTTCAGACTCTGTGGGTATTTTGTTTTACGATATAAATTGAAAGCCGAGCGATAAACAATTTGGTTTATCGAACCATGCATCGTTAAAAGTTCTACACACCACTAAATTTTAGCTTACTAGAAATTAAATCATTTATAAAACTTAATAATAATTTTACCAGACTTGGTAAAATCTTAAAAATTCGTCCCAGAAAAATAAGCAATTTACATTATTCAGCAGTTTCTGACACTGCCATAGAGGGCGCTGTTACTAAGGAATTTCTATTCTACATGAGTATTTACTGTTTACATTGAGGCTCTGTTGAATTCATCAGCGATGATTCAACTGATGAATTTATAGAAAGTGTTGTTTTAAAAGCAAACAAAGTTATATTATTTATTATAGTTTTTTTGTCATAGCCAGTGATGTCACAAAAGTATCCAATGATATGATGAAAGAAAGAATATTTTTATCAAAATCACTCAAGTCTGACATTACACCTCATTGTTGCAGTGTATGTAGTTAATAGTTAATCACAACAAATGTGATTATTTTATATAATTTGGCGTGTTCGTTTTTACATATTTATATTTTACAAGCCGAATCGTTTGAGTTAGTGCGCCCTCGACAATGGATTCACTCCTATGTACTAATGTCTGAATCCACCAGTGAGGGCGCAATAACGCAAAAAGTTCTAAGCAGCAGTGCATGAAACAAATCAAGAAAACAAAAGAATTCTAAATGGTTTTTTTACCTGCAGTAGGCTGATCATAGACCGCGTCTTCTATGGAGTCCATGGGCTGATTCAACATTTACAACTTTTCGAACAATACATTTTAAAACTTAAACAAACTAATTCTCTCTATAAAAAAAAGTATAATCTGAGAAATTTGATTTCTGGTAAAGTCTTTTCCAGTTGCATGTAATGTAGAAATACAGCAATACAAAATCCTGTGCCTGATCCAAGATGGCAACTTTGTGAATCCAAGATGGCCGTCCGGTGGGACATTTCTTCAATACCTTAGTAGGATGTCCATGTCCATGTCCATGTCCAAACACAAAAGAAGTTCATTTATATGATTAATTACAGACTGCCCTCCATCCAATTAGAAAAGTTATGTACATGTATTTACTTAGCATGCTTAGTAGCTTAACAAATTATCTCATTCGCTAAATTCCAAGCAAACAAAAATGAATATCATTACTTATTCGTATCTATAAACATCTTATGAATTTGAAAGAAATGTCCCAAGCAAAATTCGAGTTATGAAGGTAAACCTTCACCATGGAAACACACAAACTAGGTTGATAATGTGAAATTGCCGACTTTCAGAAAAAATCGTATTCCATTTTCCATATTGAAAATGTGGCGAGAATTACATTTTTCAAATTGGCCTGAACTGTGTTGCCTGACCTGACCTTACCTGCTTTCAAGTTTTGCCAAGTTCTTTATAATACGGATTCGGGGAACAAAACAACCTGTATTTTGTATATTTTGACAATAACATTTCATCAATATGTTTGTAAATATTTGGGACTCAAAGAATATCTAACTAAGTTAGCGGATAAACAGCTGCCAGCTCGAGTAATCTCAGGGATAGTAACAGAACTATACTGTGAAGGGGGGGGGGGTTATACATGGGTAAGAATATCATGAAAATATAATCTATAAACTAAGTGAAAGGAAAAAACAAGTTTTCCTAATAGTCACCTAATACTGAATAACAGATTGTACTGGAACAAGCGCATGTTTAGTCGTATCAAAACAAGCAACGTCATTGTAATGAGGTACTACATTATTTCAAATAAAAGAATTCTATACCCAACCCTAAAAGTTTGTAGTGCTTTCCACTGAGTGGAAACTAATTAACAAATTATAACTGACATAAAATAATTTCATTTCATGTATGTGCTGGTCTTCACACTGCCGTTATTGCTGCCATGGAAACAATCAATAATATAGGGGGTGCGAAATAGACAATTTGCTGTTTGGTTTTGATGCACATTACGTATGTAACAGGATTACATAAGTAGCTTGTATGCGCGTATCAAGTTGGCTCGTGTTGTGTATGATCACTGTCTTGTGCATCCAAACAAATAAGCCAAATGTCTATGATAAACAAACATTCTGACGAAAACACCATGTGGTGCTGAATCATAATAATTTACTTTATGTGAATTGGGCAGGAAGGTTTGAGTTTTCTTTTCTTTGCTGGAAAATGCAAAGATGCTTTGCAACTGTGTTTCTCAATGCAAATTGCTGCAAGGACACATTGAGCCTTGTCTGTAGTTCTTAAATATTATCTACCCCAAATACATATATTTATATTTGTAGCACGTTTTTCATAGTAACTATGATTATGCAAAATATTTGTTGTTGTGCTTTGGCGGGAACTGACAATGTCCCTGCCATGCTGTTGTCTTGGTGATGTTAGATGTTGAATAGTTAGTGTTTTTATTTTTTCACATGCAAGCAATTGGTCTGTACACTTATGCGCACAGCATGCAAGTTAATGGAAATATTAGTATACTTTCTCTATTGAGAAAAAGAAGATTTGTACATAATATTTGCAGCTGGTTTTTACTGCATTAGATTAATTTTTGTGTTTAGTTAAATCTGATATTTACTAGTGTTTATACTGTATTTCTCAGTTTTTATTCAAATACACCTTTATATATATATATATATATATCATAGTAATAGCCATGACTGTAATTTTCGGTATCTCGAATACAGCACGCTTGTTTGATTATGCAGAGTTCATATTGCTTTCATTCTCCCGAGGTTGACAAATTGGATTATCTATATTACAAACTACACTTTGTTGCGAACATAATAAGTTAATATCCCATAATGCAAGTAAAATTCTGCCATTTTGTGCACCGCTTTTTGATGAAATGCAGCACAATTGTTGTTTACTGTTTACATGTGATGCAAAAAAATGCCTAGTCTGTCGAACTTTACCCGTGATGTAATGAACAAAACTAAAAACTGAGTGCTCCCAAATCATACAAGTTTCTTATTTGAGATACTGAGACTGAATGGCATTGGGGTTTTGTCTTTAAACATGTGCCAGCTTATTTGGAAAACAAAATCTTGCATGTGTTGCGTTAATGATTTCAAACAAATGTGGAACTTATCAGATGTAATGATACATTTGTACTGAGCTGAAATATACATAAAAAGTATATCTTGCACGAGACACACCAACCATGTGATGTGTCATAAGTTGTTGTTTGGTTCCATTATTGTGGACTATTCCATTCTTAAGTATATAAGAGTATAGATGGACTATTCCATTTTAGACTAAGGTGAAGCTATATCTTGATGTCATCTGATTTCAACTTCTATTATCTTTCAATATTTTCTTTCATTAGAACAATTTCAGAACTCATTTATTGATAAATCATTAAGTTTTAAATTATATATTTTATGGATATATTACAATTATGTTTCTAATTGTCTTGTTTGCATTACAATTGTTTCCATCTTTATCATATTCCAGGGCCCTGTATTGTGTTTTGAAATAGGTTGCTCCCCAATTTGGGGTCCTCCTTCCCTGTGTCACACAATGGTACAGTCCATTCTATTGTATATAGTGTATGAGAATCTGGCTTCCTTATACCAGGAAGCAGCTTCTCTATTTTCATAGTAGTGTTGGCACTGTAGTTTTTTCGCCTCCACTGTTATCATTAGTTTAAAAAGCTGCCCATGAATTTTGCATTGCCACCCCCTGATTTAGGGCAATGATGTTATTTGTCATATGGAAAATAACGGAACAATCTATATTACGGGGGTGGCTGCTTGGTAAGGGGAGGTGGTTTTTTTCAGTTTGTTATGTCTGTTTTGTAAAGTTAATATTCATTGTTACAATTTGAAAAAAAAATACATGTGTTTCTCCAATTGTTTTTTGTAAAAGTAGAGATAATTTTTTGTTCTTAGCATTTGCTTGTCTCTTTAGCTGAAAAAAAAATTGTAGCATGATTTTTTCTGTTCTATTCAACAGGGTAAATCATGATCAGTAATTCAAAAACTCGCACAAAGTTATTTTTCCTTAAAACTACCTAGTTTTTGTGCGAGAAATAAAAATACAAAAAAACAGTACTGCGATATTTGTATGCACCTATATATACAAGTATATATATATCTTATTTTTCACTTCTATAAGTGCAATAGGTATGATAAAAGTAAAAATTTACTGTCATTTCAAAAGGCTTGTATGTTCTTTTTTTTTGTCACAGAGTTTTTATGCTTGTCTTCACAAATTCACATCCTTCACTGACATATAGCATGCCCTCACAAGTTTCAAAGTATAAAAACAAAAGATTACAACTGTTGAACTAATGGAGTAGTTTGGGGGAGGATTCCCAAAATAGCATGCTGGAGATAGCAATATGAAGGCGTGGTATTTAAAATAAAAAAAACTTGTATACAAAATTTTCTGTCACAAATATAAATGATGGATGGTTGTATGCATTGTGAAATTAAAATTGGATTTTTTTTTATAGGGACCAGCCATATAGGCTGTAATAATAATTCAAAAATCGGTGAAAGATTGTATTTCTTAAAGTTTTATTGTCAGAAAAACTTAGTTGAAAGCCCTTAACTTAATTGAATCTGGAAAGCGATAACAAGCTGTACTGATCGAAACCTGACATATTGTGTCATTTATGAACAGTTGATTGTTCTCACTAGAGCAAATTTAATACAATATACACGACAAGTCTTTGTTTATAAATAGAATCAGTACTCAGAGTGTTATTACCTTTGCACCTAGAACGAATTCTCATCAAAAATATTTGCATTTTGACATATTAATCCACGATAAAATTAATTTTGAAGCAAAGTTTTTGATTTCACATGTAATACAAATCACTGAGCAGAACTATGAATTTAATTTGCATAATATGTACATTTCATTCATGTATTGTGGCACCAATGGTTTCAGAGACGGAAACATACAATTTACAAAGCCAACTTATGATTATGGTTTATTTTCGGTATTTCTACCTGAATATGAACATAGTCTGACACCAAGTTTACTCTAAAACTGAAAACGCATTAAATTTCTGATTTTGATGCATCCGTGGATCAAAATAAATAAATTGCTCTT